CACACACACACACACACACACACACACACACACAGGAACATGTAACGGTTACATCAGGTTGTCTGAAGGCTTAGTAATAAAATTAAATTAAATTAAATTAAATTAAATTAAATTAAATTAAATTAAAAATAAAATCAAAAACGCCCACTCGGTTCGTGACTCGACGGCTTCAGCCCGTCAGATCCAAGCGGATCCGACCCAAAGACAGCAGAAGGAACAGAACCAACCTGGGTCGGGTCGCCTCCTGTCCTCCACTTGTTACAACCCGAGCTGAACACCATGGATGGATCTCCCAGTAAGTTTCCTGGCGCGCGGACAAAAAAAACCGCAGCCCACACCGAACCGAACCGAACCGAACCGGAACTGGAGGAGGCGGTTTGCTTTGAATGAACCAGAGGCTGTGGTGGAGATTTCCTCCTCTCTCTCCCCCTCCTCTCTCCTCCTCCTCCTCTCTCTCTCTCTGTCAGGGCAGACGACGGGAGAAAGGTCTTCAAACAGCTGTTTGTTCTAAAATGGAGTTCTGTCTCGTGAGAGCCAATCAACGCGAGGCTGTGGAACTCCCGTTCCTCCTGTGGAACTCCCGCTCCTCCTGTGGGCTGGAGTCAGATCCACACCGAGGTCCATCCGAGGACTGGCTTGGCTTATGTCTTTGTTTGGTTTCTGTGCCACTGCGGCTTTGTTCACACGCACATCACAGATGACGGCGGTGAGATGAAGCAGGGAAACCCTGACGTTTCCTACAGGGATTCAGGGGCGCCAACAAGGGGAGGCGGAGGGGGCACATGGCCACCCTGTGATCAGACAGTTTTTTTTTCTCTCAAGTCTCAAGCTTTTGCTTTTAGTGCATTTTTATTTTCCCCCATTACAAACTAGTCAAGCCTCATAAAGAGAAAAAAATATTATAAGGACAAATTTACGGAAGAGCATTGCATTTACCAAATAAAAAAAATTAGGACTCCTGATCTCATAATTACGAGAAAAGATGTCATAATTATGAGATAAGATGTCATAATTACGAGATCAGGATCTCATAATTACGAGATAAGTTAAAGAGAGTCAGCTGATTTACATTACAGGAAAAGTAAACAATGACGGCACTATCACATTTTATATGCTTTTATTTCCTCTTAGGTTTGAAATATTGAGTTTACTTAATGTGGATGATGTTGTATCTATTAATGT